GGCCTCTTTGCCCTTGCCGGGGCAGTCCTTTGCCACATGGCCCATCCCTTTACATGCGAAGCATGCGCCAGTAAGGTCTGGGCCCTTGCAAGTACCCTGCACATGGCCCCGCTCCAAACATCTATAACAGTGCGGTCCTTTGTCATGTAAGAGACGCACTCTACACGACGTCCAGCCAATACGCAGGCGGGTTAGCCCAGCGAGTGGAGCCGCAGCTCTGATGGGCACCTCGCACCGTGCGTACCGGCCTTTCCCGCTACCAAATAGCCGGACCACAACGGGATCGGCTACCGAAGCACCATTCGCGGTCGAGATGATAGAGGTCAACGCTCCCTGAACGTCCTCTTCCTCTATCCACTCCTCTACATCGAGAAGCATGAATGTGCACATCATCACCGGACGATGGACGCGCACATCCATGCCGTCCAGCGCCTCCACAATCTTAGTGGTCAGCAGGTCGGCTTGAGCCCCGGTACCTCGAACCTCCAGGAGCACTGCTCCTGACTTGGTTCTGCGGGTACCGGAGACCACAATGCCCAGCGCCTGGAGATCAACTTTCTCCATCACCGTTTTAATGACTGCCGAGTATTTTTGGTCCTCTTTAAGAGGACCAATAATAACGGCTTCAGTTCGCGGTGCTCTCACCTTGATAGCAGGTCTCCGTGCTGAGGTAAGAAGCCCGGGATTAGGGCGAGGTTTGGCCGCTGCATTTGGGGCCTTGCGGCGGACCACCTCTGACCACGCAGCCGGCGGTGGAACCTTAGGCACTACCACGGTCTGGGGCAGCGGTACTGGGGTGCGTGCTGCCTCTACTGTTACTGAGTCTGGGGCAGGTTCCCCTCCCCCATCGACGCTCTGATTCAGCTTCTTGCGTCGCCTTTTTCGCACCCGCTTAGCCACCTTGGTGGTGGATAGCAGGCCGACGGGCGCCGCAGTCGCGCCTGGTCTCGTCGGCACGGCAGGCTCGGTGTCCAGGTCGCCACCGATCATAACCGTGGTCACCGAGGAGTCCTTCGCAGTTCTTTTTTTGCGAGGCTCGGCTGACCTCCTTAGATCAGTCAGAGCCTGGCACGACAGGGAAATTTTCTCCAGTNCCTGGCACGACAGGGAAATTTGCTCCAGAAGGAATGCCAAATGAGTGTTTGGCACCTCCTTCATGATGCTCCCTTCTACCTCTGCGGATCTGGAGAGAGAGACGAGGTGGTTGAGGCCGACGTCAAACGCCTCCTCATCATCACTCTCATCCTCCCGTACTGCCGCTCTCCTCTTCCCCGGGTGACGCATTGGGGGCGTCTCCTCCCGGAGGGGGCTGAATGCCGGGGACTCTTCCTGTTGTAAAGCGGACATGCCTTCTTCTCCCAAAGACGGCTCCGCCTCATTCCGTCCTGGTCCGTCTCCGGCACGCATGACTTCATCTTCTTCGTCCTGCGCAGCAGCGACGGAAGACAAGAAACCTTTTCTCTGGCTCGCCTCACAGTCTCCTTCTGCTTGGTGGCACTTATATTCATACAGCTCAACCGCCTGTCGCAGTCCGTGTCCCATTATTTGTATTATCTTGCTGTTCTTGTAGCGGGTGAGTAATTCGGTGGCGACTAGTCGGGCCACACTATTGACCCGATCTGCCGCACCCTCACCTCGAAGGCTGGAGATGCAGCTATCCATTAAGCCGGCTCTCTCCTCGTCATCCTCTACATCATCAAGAGGATTATACCTCTCTTTCTTCACCGGTGCGAAGACTCCACCATCCGCAAGGTTCTTCTCCATCATTCCCAACACCGTCAGTACAGAACTCCGGAAGCCATCCGGGTTTCTGAACCTCCTGAGTGGGAAACAATGACTCGTGACTTCCACCGAGGTCATACGCTGGTGCAGGTGCATCCAGCGGCCATATTCCGACCGCGTCAACGGAATTCCGTCGCAGAAGCGATCCCGAATGTCCGCCCAGTCTTCGATCATCTCTGCAGAGATCGTCAGATCACCAGCAGTTACCTCAGTGACCCGAAAGTCACTGGAGGGTGCCTGCTTGGCACACCCTCCGACAGTTACTTGGGCGCGAACGCCCCCTGGACCCTGCCTCACCAGTCCCACGGTTTCGATGCAGTCGCTAGATGACGACCGGGTCGAGCCTGCAACAGCACTCTTCCCAGCCGGTCCTGAAGGATCCGAACCTTCTGGAACCGTAACGGTTTTTTTTACACTGGTTTCCTTCCATGATTGGTTTTTACGGGTGTCCTTCCCTGCGTTTTACCTACCGCCAGGGGATTTGTTTTCGGTGTTACCTTCACCTAGGTGGTTGCCTTACCAGGCTATCGGGCCCACCCGCCCGTTATGAAATTACCCTCGATCGCTACCGCTTATTCGTCCACTCTAGGAGTGGCTTATATCACGGCTACCCTGCATATCTGCAGGGTTAACGAGCGAACGAGGGGCTCGCTGTCCGTGACCGCTTATTCGTCAGTCCAAATTAATGGACTGCTTATTTCGCGGCTAACCTGCATATCTGCAGGCCGTTCCTCTATCCGCAACCTGAGGACGCGCCCGATTCCCCGAGCTAGGGAAACTGCGCCCGTGCCGACGTTTCGTAGCCCCGTAGAGCCCGATCACGCCGACACTGTAGCGCAGCGCAACGGGGACCGAGTCGAGCCTGCAACTACACTTTTCCCAGCCGGCCCTGGAGTCTCCGAAACTCCTGGAACGATAACTCTATTTTTGTGATGGTTTCCTTCCATGATTGGTTTTTACGGGTGTCCTTCCCTGCGTTTTACCTACCGACAGGAGATCTATTTTCGGTGTTACCTTCACCGAGGTGGTCGCCTTACCAGGCTAAAGGGCCCACCGGGAGGCCGTATTTATGCGGAAAAAAAATGGGCGGAACATGAATTATCCGGAAAAAATATCTCCGGAACGTATATTATTGGAACTGTATAATTACGGAAACTTTAAAATCCGGACTGTAAAATTCAGGATCGTAAAATCCCGGAATAATACGGAATACAAGATGCCTGTCCGTAGATTACCGGTCTTCTAAAATTCGGAATGTAGAACGCCGGACCATAGAAATCCGGAAAATATTGTTATGAGTGGTTCTCAATATGCTCTTTCGTTCTGTATAGTTTTATTTCATGAATACCTACTGAAGCACGGAGATTCGGAATGAATTTTCAGCATGACAAAATTATTATTAATTGTGTTTTAAAATTATTATTGTATAGAACAAATTCAAGTTGGACATTTGTTTTTCATATCTTCTATTAATGGAGATTTCTGTTCGATTTCGATCATTCTTAAGATAAAATATCAATTTTATATTATTAATATTCCTAAATTCAATAGTGATTGAATTAAGTGTTTTTTTAATTTAATAAATTTATAAAAATCATAGTGTACATACAACATAGCTATTTGTTGCTATTTGAGCAGCTCGAAATCGCTGTACATTTTAAACCTACCTTATATTTGAAAACCTGAAATCTTTTTAACTTCATTGTTAAGGAGTTTTTATTAAATATTATTATAAAATCAAAGTAACATAATTGACAAACATATTTTAGATTTATCATCCCGGTGTGCAAAAATGAGTTAATGAGACGAAACGTAAAAGGCTCGGGGCAACTTGCGATATTGAAGTAAAAGTTTGTTAATTTCTTAGGGACGTTATTTAAATGCCAAACGCTCGATTACAGATACAATATAATACTTATGTATATTACAAATACAACATTAAATAGAAGTTAATCCAATACTATTAGAGTACTTTAATATATACATTCATATACACATATTAATTTATAATACAGTGGTCTCTATATAAACTTCGTTTATTTTTAAATTAATTTGATGCAAAGTGATCGGAATTTTGTTCTAAACAGCATACAAAAAATATTGGTGAATTTTATTGTCAACCCCTTCACGTACATCAAAGGGATTAAAAATTGACAAAAAAATGTAGAAATCTATTTTTTTTATATATATCCTATTAATTATTATAAATAGAAAAAATTCCTCAGAATTAAAAATGCAGTTAACTATAATGAAAAGAAAGAGGTCTTTACAAATTTGTTGTAACATTGATTTATCAACGTCTAACTAATAAATTCTGTTTAATTTTATTTTTCGCGAAGACTTTTTTGGTCTTTAATGTTTATCTCTATAATTATTGTGTCATACGTCGGTAGTACCCCGACGCAGACACAAAAAGGAATACGCAAATTTATTAATATTTTTTATCGACAAGTTCGACGTTTTTAGCTCCTCCCGTTGGATACACTGGTCAAAATTTAAAAAAAATGATATAATTTAAAAAAGAAATACTTAAGAATTTAATATAAATAAAAATTATTTTGATTTGTTAATTTTTGAAATAGGTATGGTAGTTTTAAGAAAAAAAATGTCAAGAATTACTGAATTTTAAAATTTAAATTTTCTTGTAGATTTTGTCCATTTACAGGGAAGGAGGAAATTTTTTTTCTATTTTTAAGGGCAATATCTTCAAATATATATGATTTATGATCTTTTGACGTATTGTTGAAAAAAATTGGACCAGTGAGAGTTGAGGAAAAGTGGCAGCAGACAAAAACAAAACACATCATAGTTAAATAAATATCTTGTCGGCTTTGCATCGAAGCTAAAATAATATTTTATGCTAACAAATATCGAACTATAATTTAACTTATTTAAGGTCAAAGTGTGGATACTTTTTTAAAACAAATACTTTTTTAAAAAGTTCAAGATACTGTTCAAATACTTTTATGAAAAAGTATTTGAAATACTAGTTAAATATTTTCATTCAATTGTATTTGGATTACATCTAAATTACTTAAACAATTTTTTTAAGACTACAGGCACAATAGGGGTGGTTACTTGAAATTTGAAAAAAATATTTAACTACATATTATTGTAGAGTTTTTAGAATCTATAATATAAAAATGAATCGCAAAATGTGTTGGTAAGCGCATAACTCAACAACGCTTCGACCAATTTGGCCAAATCTATCTTCTATAATATAAAAATGAATCGCAAAATGTGTTGGTAAGCGCATAACTCAACAACGCCTCGACCAATTTGGCCAAATCTTTTTTTAAAATGTTCGTTGAAGTTCAAGGATGGTTTTTACGGCGAGAAAAATTAGAATTATTGCTGGAAAAACCCAAGAGTGTTTACTTAGTTAGTGTTTGTTTAGTTCGTGATTAGTGAAAAAATAATTTATATTTGATATGCCTCCTATAAGACGAAGCAATTTAGGTAGAAGAACCAGAAATGCTACAAACCAAGCTAATTACCGATCTAATCGTACTGCACAAGAACGTGACGACGGAAATGAACGTGAAAGAATTCGGATATCACAAACGCGTGAAGCGCGAGCGCGACATTCAACTAATAATCGCGCAAGTTTGAATCGAGCTGCTTTCAGTTACGATGTGTCAATTGACTACAGTAACTACCAATGTGTTGTTATTGGTTCTATGAACTCGGTTTGCTCACACTGTAAGGCATTAAAATACAAAAACGAAGCCAATGGATTGTGTTGCGCAAATGGTAAAGTGAAATTGATACCATTGGATCCACCACCAGAACCATTGTACTCATTGGTTTCAGGAATAGGAACAGATTCTATACACTTTTTGACACATATCCAACAATATAACAATTGCTTTCAAATGACTTCATTTGGGGCAACAAATGTAGTTCGGGAAAATTTTATGCCAACTTTCAAGGTATGTATTATAGCAGTTACTCATAATTATTTTAGCGAACAAAATTTTCTGTCACCAAAGTTAAGATGTGTCACTAATCTTCAATTTCTTAATCACTTATATATCACTTAGTCATCATATTATATGGTGATTCAGTTTCAGTGACACTTTTATTATATTTTATATTTGATAGATATTAGTTAAAACTAAATATATACTTTTTAAGATCAAATATTATTTAAGTTTGATCACTGACAATCCATTAATTTATACCACACCATAATATTTTTTTTTTATTTACAGATACAAGGGCAAATATATCACAGAGCAGGTTCACTGTTACCAGTGTCAGATAGCGACAACAAATTCCTGCAAATTTATTTTATGGGCAATTCACCACAAGAAATTGATCTGCGTTGTGCACATAACAATTTAGTAAAGAGGTCTATTGTAGAACAATTACAAACTTTATTTCATCAACACAATCAATTGATTATATTGTTTAAAACTGCCCTGGATCTGATGCCATCCGATAATCACAAAATTGTAATCAGAGCTGATAAAACACCTGCAGGTCAACATACAAGACGTTTTAATGCACCAACTATTGATGAAGTTGCTATCGTTGTAGTTGGAGAAAACTTGGAATCCCGTGATATTGTTTTACATCGTCGGAATGATCAATTACAACGTATAAAGGAAACACACCGCTCATATGATGCACTGCAATATCCCATTATATTTTGGCAAGGTGAAGATGGCTACGATTTCTCAATAAAAATGATAAATCCCATTACAGGTAACTAAAATATTAGTTTAGCTATGGCGATAATATCTCGGTCATTATATTATGTATTTTAATTTTATATTCGAATGTTATTAAAACAAAATCTATTTACAGGTTCTGAAACCAACAAAAAAGTCAGTTCAATGAACTATTATTCATACCGCCTAATGATTCGGGAAAATGAAGAAAATCACATATTGAAATGTCGGCGATTATATCACAAATATGTTGTTGACATGTATGTTAAAATTGAAACGGAGAGATTAACATTCATCAGGTTGAATCAAACCAAACTCCGATCTGAAGAGTATATTCACCTTCGAGATGCGATTAATACTGATGGAAATGCACAGAATGTCGGTCGGATGACTATTCTTCCAGCAACATACATCGGAAGCCCTTTGAGGATATATAAATCAGCTACTANGAACAAATTACAGGCGAATTGAGGATATATAAATCAGTTGATTCGGCTACTAATCAAGATGATGTAGTCAACTATCCACCGGAATTTTTAAACTCGCTGGATTTGCCAGGATTGCCACCTCACAATCTTCAATTAAAGGTTGGATCGGTGGTTATAATGTTGCGAAATATCAACCAACCGCGTCTTTGCAACGGTACACGGTTAGCGATAAAAAAATTACTAAACAATGTGATAGAAGCAACTATACTCAAAGGAAAGTATAAAGGAGAAGATGTTCTCATACCGCGCATCCCAATGATTCCGACTGATGTGCCATTTGAGTTTAAACGACTACAGTTTCCAGTGCGGCTTGCTTTTGCTATGACTATAAACAAGTCCCAGGGGCAATCATTAAGTGTTTGTGGTATTAATCTAGAAAACCCATGTTTCTCACATGGTCAATTGTATGTTGCCTGTTCCCGTGTTGGAAAACCATCAGATTTGTTTATCTATGCGCCAGGTAATCAAACAAAAAACATCGTATACCACAAAGCACTACAATGATAATAATAATAATTATGATTCACATGATTAACAATAAAGCGATTACTTACTTTTAAATCTTTATATATGTTTTATTTAATTGNAGCGATTACTTACTTTTAAATCCTTATATATGTTTTATTTAATTATTTTTTATTCACAACGCCCTATCACCAGGGTGACGGTTCTGTTCAGGAGAATTTTTTTAAATACGTAGGCAAAAAAACTGCCACATTACAAATCTTTTTGACAGGACGAAGTCTGTCGGGTCAGCTATTAAACAATAATTTCTTTTACGAAAATTACATATTTTCTAAGATAATTTCTTGGATTAAATATCAAAGAATGTCTTATCTTTAATTAATCACCTGTATAATATATTTGATAGATTTTTTCATACGATAATTTAACCAAAAACATGGAGTTGAAGACATTTTAGTTGATGACTGTACCAAAGATTTGTAAATCAATTTTATCATTCAGGTTAGTTTTCTGCTGTATTAAAATATTGATTGGCAACAATCATTACTGAAATTTTTTAATTATTTTTGTCCTTCAGTATAATGGGTAAAATTGATTTATAAGCTTACCGAAAAGTACTTAGGCACTACCAAATTGATAATATTATTTTTATTATACTTATAATACTAAATTAATTATAACACAAAGTTAAACTAATGCAGTTTAAAATTTAAATTACTTTTCAAAATCTTTTGAATTTAAAATTGTACTGTGATCTTAAAAAATAGTTTAATTTTCAATTGAATTAAACTGACTTTATTTAACTATACGATTAATTTTGTTAGTTTATATGTTGTTAACTTTAAAATTAGCGTACTACATTTACGATGGATCCAAGTAATTACTAAAATGTATTCTTAACTCCTATTTGTAAAAATAAATAATCATTTTTCACTAAAGCTTTTTTATAATTCACGAAGAATTTTATATACAGTATATTTTAATGATAGTAAATAGAATATATTGTAATAATAATAAATTTTAATATCACAGGAATCTACTTTATACAAATTTTCATGAAAGAAATAATAAATGTCATGAGATATTTAATGCTTTATAAATAAAGATTTTGATTATTCACATTTTTGGAACCAATGATATATTTCCGTAAAAATACAGTCCGGGAATATATAATCCGGCTCTTCACATTCCGCGATTATACGTTTCGTCATTCTACGGTCTGTTATTTGTCTTTCCGTCAATATACGGTCCGGCATTGTACTTTCCGTCGTTCTACGGTCCGTAAATATTAGTTCAGAAATATTACCCCGCCCGTTATGAAATTACCCTCGATCGCTACCGCTTATTCGTCCACTCTAGGAGTGGCTTATATCGCGGCTACCCTGCATATCTGCAGGCCGTTCCTCTATCCGCAACCTGAGGACGCGCCCAATTCCCCGAGATAAGGAGACTGCGCTCGTGCCGACGTTTCGTAGCCCCATAGAGCCCGATCCAACCGACACAGTAGCGCAGCGCAACGGACACACCCAATGCCTGACTTGCACGAAATGGTCCGTGGAATGGGTGGTGCTAACGTCTTCAGCACCATCGACCTAAAGTGTGGCTATTAGCAGGTTAGTTTGACACAGGGGTCAAGACCACTCACCGCATTCCGCACACAAATGGGCCTCTACCAATTTAAAGTAATGCCCTTTGGCCTTAAAAACGCCTTAACTACTTTTAAATGGTTGGTAAACGAGGTTATGCATGGATATGTCGGTAAATTTGTGTTTGTGTACCTAGACGATATCATGATGTACTTGGTGAATAGGAGAAAGCACCTCATTCACATACAACGAGTCTTGGAACGATTACAAACACATGGGTTGACATGTCAACCGAAAAAATGCAGTTTCGGTGTAAACCGTATAAATTTCCTCGGACACATAGTTGATTCGATGGGAATTGACCAGGAACCGGAGAAACTAACTGCAGTCGCCGAATTCCCCGTACCGAAGAAAGTCAAAGATTTACAGAAGTTCCTCGGAGTATGCGGTTGTTACAGTCAGTTCGTGTCGAAATACACCAAACTTGCCACTCCGTTGACTAATCTTTTGGCTCATAGGATTAAGTGGCGATGGACGGTACAAGTCCAAGACGCTTTCCAAAAGCTAAAAGAAGCACTTGTCTCTGTACTCCGACTCTGTCTCCCACTTCAAGGACAACCGTTCTATGTTTAAACCAACGCAAGTGAAATAAGAGTCGGTGCCGTACTATTTTAGCGGGAAGAAACCGGCCAGAGAAGGATTATCTCATATGCCAGCCGAAAACTTTCTCACGCTCAGACACGGTATTTAGCCATAGAACGTGAGTGTCTAGCCATTGTATGGGCCGTTGATTGCTTCCGACCATACCTAGATGGAAAATTTACTTTGCTCACGAACAGCATAGCGCTTAAGTGGTTACATCACACGCGGGATACCAACAGTAAGTTGACCCGCTGGGCGTTACAGCTGGGAGCGTTCGACTTTGATATTCAGCGCGTGCCTGGAGTTGAAAATCAAGCAGCGGACGTCCTATCAAGAAGCCCTGTGGAGAAAACTCTGGTAGATGAACAACAACTAGAAAGAAACTACCATAATCCACCATTGACCGGAGATTTATCCGAACAAAGTTAATTAGGAGCTATAAAAAAGGATATTCACCCGGAGAATATCGCTATTTCCAACATTAGAACCTGGCAGATGAAGTCAAAACTTTGGCTCAGTATGTCCAGAAACTCCGGAGTGATAATCCAATTTACCGGCGCTTACACCAGGAATACTACTTGTAAGATTGTATTTTGCTAAAATGCCCGGTAAATAACGGAACGGACGGAAAGATTGTCGTCGTTCCGCCGGACTTGTCAGATCACCTGTTATGGAGGTATCATGACCATGTTTCTACCGGGCATCCAGGATGGAAAGAAACTTACCGGAGCATTGGTAATCGTTTCTTCTGGACCGGTATGAGAGAGTCGGTACGTCAATATGTCGCAAGGTGTCACGTTTGTGCATGCGTTAAACCGCTAAACCGGAAGGAAGACGACACAATGCGACCAAGACAGCCGCGCCAGCCATGGGAGGTTGTTAGTATTGATCTTATGGGGCCATACCCAAGATCTCAACGCGGTAAGACTTGCCTACTTGTAGCAACTGACTGCTACAGTAGATGGGTAGAAGCATACCCCTTAGGGCAAGCCACCGCTAAGACGATTACCGACACTCTAGAAAGAGAGTTTTTCTCACGTTTCGGCTATACTAGAGTACTTCTCTCAGACAATGGAACACAGTTCGTCTCCAAAACAATGGAAAAAGCACTAAAGAAGTGGGGTACAGAAGGATGGACAACACAAATTTACCATCCAAGAGCAAACCCAGTAGAACGCCAAAACCAGGATTTGAAAAAAGGTCTTCGTACAGCTTTGGTTGACAGACCACATAGTCACTGGGACAGCTGTATTCCGAATATACTTTTTCAATAAGAAATCGTCAAAACCGCATGACAGGGAGTACTCCCTCAAAACTGGTATTTGGACGAAAAGCCAAAGATCCCGGCGACTGGCTGTTGGACATAGTTCCTACGGGTGAACAACCGGACTCGCGGAAGGAGAACCCGGACCACGCCGAGATAACCGGACAGAAAGATATTGTTACTATAAATACTCCGGACAATAACAATAACTCCGGTGTGATAACCAAAAAATCCGGTGTCTTCGATAGGAAAACGAAAATTTCCGGGGGGAAGGACAATCTTCAAGAAAATTCGGGTTATCTTCCGATAAAAAAAATATTTGTCACAAGTTATCCTACAAAAATCACCGCAAACGCTTTAAGGAAGGGGATTGGGTGTATTATCGCGCGCATCCCTTATCCAGCGCTGATAAAAAGTTTCACGCCGGCTTTGCACCTAAGTGGCTTTGTAACTAAAGGAAGGCGTCAGTTAAAGCTACATGTCACCGCCATTTTTTATTATTATAAAATTTAAGCCTGAATCCCATCATTGGCGCAGTCGGTAGGATTCGTGTATCTAACTGAAAATTAAGGTAAGTGATAATTTAATTATTTTTTTTTACCACCCTTAAATTAATACGTTACAAGTAACGGACCTACAGCTTAACTGACTAAAAGTGTAGTAAGTCCAAGAAAAAGACATTTTTAAGACTTAAACGGTTATAATATAGTTTATAATATAGTATAAGGTTAAAATTGTTTGGAGTTAAGGTGTATATAAGCTATAGAAATAGACTTATTATACATGAGAATTTTTCTTAACGTGGTTTGTGCTAAAAATATCTTGTAGTCTTTGGTGTTACCAAAGACCACTTCAAAATTGGTAATCATTTTTAAAGTAGCAATATTATGCAATGTTCAATTTAATATTATGAAAAAGTCTTATAGAGAAGCCCATATTTGTAAATGTAATAATACTACAAAATACAATAACTTTGTAATAAAATTACAAAAATGTAAGCAGTAGCGTATTTAGAAATTTATAATGAGGTGGACACAAAAAAAGTTCACGAATATGGAACCATAAAACGACTTTTTTTTGCTCATAACTTTTGTTAACACATATTTTAGATTTTTCGAAAAAAAATCTGTTATTTGTTTTGAATCCATTTTTATACAGTGTTTATCTCTACGGAATAAACACTTCAGAAATAGGTGATAACATTAACAACTGTACAACTGTATCAAATTTTGCTCCACAAGACAACTATATCGACTAACATTTTATAAACCCATGTTATTATCGATACCCAAAAATAACTTTTGCTAATGATATTATACATTACATTGCTTGATAAAATATTTACACGGCTCAGTTAATGGGGAGGGGCACGTGCCCTTGGCTTCCCTCTAAATACGTCACTGATTATAAGTGTTGCTTTGATAAGCATTTAATGATTAAAAATGTACAACTCCCTTAAATCTCAACTTTCATTTTGTTATACAAGTATATTTAATCCATGTTAATATTGATTAAAAATTTATTTTGTTGAACTGTACGAAAATAAATATATATATATATATATATTGACAATTTTTGACTAGTGATGTATACGTATAAGTGCAAAAGAGAGATCTAAAGAATATGTAGTCCCACTCAAATTATGGAAATTGCATGTTATTTTATATAGAAATATTTTTAATGAGGGGAAAAATGAAATTAGAAATCTCCGAACATTTTTTTTTAATTAAATGACAATACGTAAGAAAAATACACTTGTATTTAGCTATATTTCAACACATCATTGCAATCCACATATAATTTATGAAAATCAATAATGTAGTCAGTGAACAACAATTTCTTTAACACATTTGATATATTAATAATGTAATAATAATAATTTATAATACAATGTATGTAATTAAATTACAATACTTAGTCTTATGTTATAAATTAAAACATATGTTAAAAAAAATATATACGTTTCACATGATTATTATTGCTGTCAAATTTAAATAGTGAGCGTACAACAAAAAATATGTATACGTACAATATTAAAATAGTTCATAAGTCAAAAAATTAATTACACTTTATCATAAATAATGCATTGATGATGTACACTTATAATATAAATACATACTGACACTGATGAAAATTAAAAAAATAAGAATATCATTTTTGTATTTATTTACATAGAGTCAATAATTTAATTACGCCATTAAAATTATTGATAAAAGTAACTATCATGCATAAAACATGTTAGTCTTTATATACAGAAAATGTTTGGTAAAGAAATACCGTTTTTATACACACAAACAAAAAATTGAATTTCTTTGTAAACGAAATTCAGTGACGTGTGTAATTTAGGTTACTAAATATCATACCCGCCCGTGCTTTAATCATAATAAATGCAAATAAAAACAATAATAGTCATCAGTCTGCGGTAGTTGTTAACACAAAACATTAAAATATCGGAAAGAAAAACAATGTTAAAAAAAATAGAAAAATAATAATGTTAAATTAATATAATTAAAAGGACATAGTCACAATAATTCTAATCTAGTAACGCGTAATTATTTATGTTATATGAGATACTCCAGAGTGAATTACACAATTAGAGGGCATGTTTTATTCTTAGAGTGCCTTTATCACTTGGAAACGAAAAATTGTTGCTGCTGTTGCGGTCCTCCAGGTCCTCCGCCACTTCCACCCCTAGTATTAGTGGCATATAATTGTTGTTGAAAGTTATGAAATTGTTGTGCGTAATTAGGGTCTGCTGTAGTGGGTCCAATGAACGAATTAGCCGTTCCCACTGGACCACCACGATATCCCGGTCCTGGTCCTGGAGCGCCACCACCCATGGATGGGGGTAATGGCTGTGTAGCATCTGGCGGTGGTCCTGGTCCTGCCATCATTCCGCCTTTATGCTGTTGTGATGGTGGACCGTTTGGTCCTCCGCCACCACCCATCATCATCATTTGTTGTTGAGCATGATGGTGAGGTGGGGGTCCACCGCCGCCAAACATACCATCTGGTCCGCCGCCGCCTGGATTATAGTTATTGGATGCCATACCCAGTCCACCCATTCTAATCATTCCAGCTGGTCCACCTCGCATCATTCCAGGTCGCCCGCCTATGTTGTTAAGTGGTCCAGACGGCATACCACCTACCGGAGGTCCACTACCACTACATATCATATCATTAATGCCGCCTCCATTGCCTCCACTATTATTATATCCTACTCCTCCACCACCACTGCCTGGAAAATACTGCAAATTATGTCCGGGCATCTTGCCTCCGTCCATGGTGGACATAGGACCACTACCACCTGAAGGTCCTCCAGTCGCGAATCTCTGCAGGAAATCTAAACCGGGCTGTTGTTGAGAGGGTGGAGGTGCACCTCTAGGACCACCCCTGGAGTTGTTTGGTAAATATTGTATAGTATTAGGGGCACTAGGTTTCACTTGTATGTTAGCCCCACCATTGTATTGCTGTCCACTAGCAGGTATTCTAGGCATAAGTCTTTGTTGTTGCTGTTGGTATTGCTGCTGTTGTAGCATCATAGATTTAGGTGAAAGAGGTCCACCACAAGAATTCATCGGCATCATACCGCCGACACTACCATTTCGACCACTGATACCCATTGGTGATGGTATACCTCCACTGCCACTGTTCATCATCGAAGGAGGCATTCCTCCTCCAGGACCCATGGAAGGCATACCTCCACCACCAGGACCCATTGATGACATTCCTCCACCACCAGGACCCATTGATGGCATTCCTCCATTACCACCAGTAGGTCCTCCATACATCATACGTCCGCCTGTATTGTTAGGTGGTCCCCCCATCATCACATCTTGCATACTGCTACTACTACCCATTCCCATTGGTCCACCACACATCGAATCTACTCCTGCTGGACCACTCATCATGTGTATTCCACTTCCTCCTCCACTATTAAATGGTGACACTGAATGATGATGTCCTGGTCCTACACCAGCACCAGGATGATGTAAAGGAAGACCACTACTACTTCCACCGTGATTAATAATCGGCGAGGAACCACTACCAGCTACATTATTGGCCAGTTGTTGATTCATTTGAGCTAACGATGAAATGGGATCAAAATGTTTCATTGTCTGAGGCGGTTGCACTCCACTACCTGGAGTAGTTGATGGATTCAAAGGCATATCACCTGGACCAAGTCTACCTCCACCAGTTGGGAATCCAAGCGGAGAGTCTTTTGGATCATTCATCATATTTGATTTGTGAAGTTGTTGATGAGATGTACCGTATCCACCACTGGTACCTGTAGAATATCTCGTATCATTCATCATCATAACATGTTGAGGTGGACTAGGGGCACAAGGAAAACCACCACCATTTCTCATTTGTTGTTGCTGTTGGGCAACATTTGTAGGTTTGGTAATAACTCCATCCATTGCGGATGGACTAGGTGAAGCAAAATCACTAGGAGTACCAGGAAATCGTCCGCTACCCGGCAAATCCATAGATGAAGGTGAATGTAAATGATTTGGAACTTTAGAATCTGTAGTCATTATTATATCCATACTGTTTTGTAAAGACATCCTGAAAAATATTATATTAACAAAATTTAAATATTTCATTTTTTTTAGCATAAAAATTATGTTAACATATTCAGGTATCTATATGTATATATATAGAGTGGAACAGATCTAACTGACAACTCATATAACTTATGATCTACATAACATTTTATACTTTTTTTAATACATTTTTACAATATAGAATTATATTTAAAATATATGTTCTATGTTATTTTATGCAATTACAAAAAATATTTTAAAAATTAATTTTTTTTACAATTTTGATACCATAGGAAAATTGTAAGAAAATCAAAATTTAACAAACTTAAAAATGCTGTATAAACGTAACTACCGAATTAAAATAAGTGTTTTTGGTATCAACATTTTTCTTTAAAACTTATCTAAAAAATGACTATCTTCAAATTTAAAAGAAAATTTATTTATATATATATATATATATGTGCGTGGGAATTATAACAGGCAACCACAGGAACAGAGCAAAGACGCAATACTATTACTTAATAAATATATATTTAATCACACACAAAAGCCCTGTTAAACATTCACAAACAAAAATAACCTATATAAAACAAAACACACATGGAAACAAAATCTAGAGTATTAAATACTTTTAAATTTAGAAATTTCTTAAGTAAGGGAATATTGTTAAAATCATGGCTATTTAGAAGAATGTGATTATAATAAAGTTGCCACCAATTTAAAATAATAATAATCTTTTGACTTTTCAATAATCTACTAGTCACTTAAAAAAAAAAAAAATTATACCTGGCTTATGAAGGAGTAGGCATACATTATTTAAATGCAAGAGTGCTTTCATTAATTTCTCATTATTTTTATGTTTATTTATTTACCAGTTTTATTTTGAAAGTAGGTGGCGTTTAAAGCCTACATTTTTTATCTAGCTCGCTCATAGCCTAAATGTATAATTATTGATTTATAAGGATTTTTGTAAACCCGTCATTATTTTTAAGTAAGATTGTATGCATGAAAAAATAAGAGATTTTAGCCAAATGGGGTTCTAAAGACTCACAGTGATGATATTATAGTTAAGAAGTCATAATGTTTTATTGACAAATTAAAGTTGTGAAACTATGGTTTCAGAGTAGAGTAATAATAGGAGACAAAAATCTTAAACATCAAGTAGTTTTTGTTATATTAAAAACTATTTGTTTTGTCTGACTTATAAGATGACTTGGCATAGGTATCAAAGGAGATTTTATGTTTACACAAATTCTACTAAATGAAATAAATCAGGACTCACGACGAAGACATTGTTGAAGCTACTGCTGTTGTTGTTGTGGCCGCAGTCGAGGATGTAGAATCTTTTAAGCCAGTATTGGGCTGTTTTTGAATCGTCAACTCTTGGCCATCAAATGCATTCATATATTGAATCCGTTGGGGTGATGGTACTGGCATTAGATTAGGTTCTTGTTTTTTGTTTGGGCCAAATAAGGAATCTAAAATTTTAGAATAATATTAAACAACTATGAATAATTGTGTAAATTTATTACAATTGGTAATTTTAAATGTTTTCATATTTGTAAAAACAATTTTTATAAAATCCCAATATTTTATTCCTCTACAGCTGATATTTGGCATAGTAAAAAACATTTTAATTAAAAATCTGACTGTGATTTAAATTATTAATAATTATTAAATTTATTAATAGTAAATACTTTAATGCATATGAGTGCGTATAAGTGATAATTTTTCAAAAGTAATAAGGGTAATAAGGGTGGATTAAAATTATAGAATACAGCTAAAAATTAACTAAAAATGTTTAGTTTAATATAATTTTAAAGGACTAGGTTTTTGTAAAATTTAGCAAAAAAAAAAAAAAACAAGATACAAATTTTTAGCTCTTTTAATTAATTTTTTTAAATATAAAGATACTCAAATTAATGATTTTAAAGTATAACTTCAAGAAATTGTTTTTAATTTTATATGAATTATTATTGAGATAATTTATTAAATAAGCAAACAGAGTTAGTGATATATTTATTTTTATCAATTATGCGAACACTAATTTTGCAATTAATCAAATTACCACTTAAATATTGATAGTAGAACATAGTCAATGATATTTAGTATCAATCTAATAATATTTAACAAAATCAGAAAAATTTTTCCATACAAAGCATAACCCAAATTTTTTTCAAACTGTATTATTACTCTTTATGTTTTTAAGGTTAATTTAATTATTTGATTCATTCATTTATATTTACCCGGTGAATGTTGTCCACCACCACAGTTAGGTTGATTGGAAGTGTTGTTATTTGATGAAGGTGAAAATTCATTAGAAGTTGGACCTTTTTGTTTTATACCTCCACTTCCACCACTACTGGGTGACATGTGTATGGGTGTGCCCGGATTACTAGATTGTAGCCTATTTCCACTACTGGGAGAACGTACAGCTGTTGGGCTCATGTTGGACGAAGGACGTCCACAACCACCAGCTGGAGAATTCATTGCAGAACAAGTGCGGGGAGATGGCAATGATAAATTACTGGTGACACCAGTTCCAGTCAATGGTGAATTTGGACTATGACTAGGCGCAGATACGATAGGCACACTAGCAGAACGTGCAACCGTTTGATGATAAGGAGGAGGTGGGGGACCACATCTGTCTTTTTTCTTATCGTCTTCACCAAACATATTCTTTTGCCAATCAGATGATGAACACGAAGTGGGAGTTTTTGGAGGTAAAAGAAGATCTGCAGAGCTAGTAGCCACTGCAGCTGCAGCTGTGACAACAGCATCTACATCCAAATCATCATCAATAGAAGGCATCAAATCATCCATACCACCTCCTGCCCCACTACTGCCTCCACAAGTATCTAAGGAACCACTTGTAGCGACTTGTGATGACGATTGAGAAGCTCCGCCACCATTAGAATTTTCTGGAAATAGCATTTGCTGAAGTTTTCTCAATGTAGCTTGTTGTTCTTCGCGGTGCTGTCTTTGCTGTGGAGTTAAATTTTCATCAGGTACTTGAACACCTAAAAAGATACAAAAACAAAGGTTTTAATTTGAGTCATAATGTTTAATAATTTACTAATATATAGAATGGTTCTTTTAATGTTAGCGGCTCAATTTCTCTTAAAACAATAATTTTTATATTAAGAAATTTATATATAGTTTTTTTAGTTTCATATATTTCTCAATTTATTAATTATTAAGTACTTTTACAGTCTATCCTTTATACCTTGTAAAATTTTTTCTTTTAAAATCTAGTTGAAATTAATTGAAAGTTATCATATAGGATGATTATCACAAACTACTTAATTAATAGAAAAATAAAAATATTGAAATTTTTTTTTTGGTTTTTAATAAATACATTTTTTCTTAATTTTAAAAAATGAAGTATTTTTTAGTCATCTTATAACTATTTGGCTCATGGTTGACTATAAAGAAGATTCAGTTGACTGTTGAATGTATCATTCTATTCATTTTAGATAAAGGAATGTATAGAAGTTATTGAATTCTAGTGTTTTTTTGGTAGTACATGGAAATAAAATTCCTTAATTATATCCGGTGGATCTATCACGCAGTTTTAACTTAAGAATTATTTATTTAAAAATTCATTAGTTCGAAATAGTTAGCTACTTGATTAATTTATAAAACTGTGAAACCATTTTCAACTGCTATTAAAATATCACCTCCTCTTGAAAATCCTGCAAAAGCTTCATTTCTATCAAACCATCAAAAGAAGTTATGATTTGGTAATCTCATATCAGCATTAAAGATGTTGCTATTAAGTCAAGTTTCAGTTATAATAATTTTGTATATACAAATTTGTAAAGAAGAAAAATCAAATTTTGTTCTAAAACTTCTTACGTTCTGATAATATAATAAAAAGAGCGTAATATGTCGATAACATAATCGTTTTTTGACACTTTATGATCTTAAGTACTTTATGTACATACTTAATTATAAAGTCTAATTCACCAATATTATTTTTAGTTTTTATATCATCTCAAAGAATTGAAAGCTGCTGTTGTTGATTTTTTGTAATTTTTAAAATAAATTTCATTTTAATTACTCAAGTTTCTGGAATCTTTAGATATTAATAACATTCGAGTCACTGGAAAGAAATATTTTGATAGGTCTAATTTTTTCTTGCATTTGATTACCAAATTTTTTAAGTAAATTTTAAGGAATCAAATGGTAAGTTAAAGTACTCTTTAATTTTATTTTTAATTATTTTGATATCACGAGTTATTCTTTCTTTAATATTTGTACTACTAGATTTTGGCACATTATATGCAATGATATTCTTGTCATCTTTTAATTGTCTTTGTTGAATTTTTCCAATATATCCAAAGAAATATTTGTAGGAGTTAAGGTAGGTTAATTTTGTTTAAGGTTATTAAGATATTTTTTTTATAATTTTTAAATTTTAAAAAGAGAAGCTCAGTAAGTTCACACTCACAATCTTTGCATAAAAATTCCAATTTCTTATTTTTTATTGTATGTACTTTATTCCTGTAGCTATAAGACCGATATACTTAAAATTGAAGATATACAAGCTTTTATAAATGCCTGATTAAAACTGTTAATTTTGACTCTATCATATCAGTATCAATAATATCATTGCAATAGTTGCAACAGCTGATATTCTTGACATTATGAATTTATATTTTTATAGATTTCAATAAGTTGAAATTTTACTTACTAATAATTTCGCAAATATTGTAATATAATCTCAGATAGCCAATAATGAATAATTAATAATAGTAATAAAAAAAGACATGTAAATATAATGAATAATATAAAAAAAAAATACAATAGTTTATACAGAAATACACTGTTTTGCTTCATGACCTCAGAAGTTATTATGATTTTAAAACATTAACTGAAGGTGAGGCATGGATATGCCAATATTTATCTTTAAATATTTTTCTGCTGTATTCTTCCTTTAACTCAGGTTTTAAAATGTTATCAGTCATTTTCTATTTAATAAGCTTAATTATATATGTTACCATTAAAAAAAAAAAAAATTTTATCATAATTGAGAAATATATGAAACTTATTTTTTATTAAATTAAATAATCCAATTTAATTGTCTTACCTGCCAACGATGGGTGAGTTCCAGCACCTGTAGAGCCACTACTTCCAATAGGATCATCAAAGTCGGCTAAAGATGGCATCATAGCAGCCAATGAATTAGGACCACCAGGTGATCCGGGCGGTAAAACCCCTGATGGACCACTGCCACCTGTTGACATCATACCATCCAAAGTTGATGATTTATTAGGATCTCCCCCACCACTCATCACCATCATATCAGGTAAAACATGAGAAGGTAGACCATGTTGAGGTCCCCCAACCATTCCACGATGATGCATAGAGTGTTGTGCTCCATGTTGTGTACCACTCATTATGTGAGAATGTGGACTTTGGTGATCCATCATACCTATATCCATACCATTCATAGGAATTCCACCACCACTATTTGGCCCCATAGCACAGAGGTTCCCTATCATAAATTCATAATGTTTCATTGTCAATAGTATACAATTTTTTATTTCTCAAGACCATTTTTTAATATAAAGAACTAAGATATAAAACAATTTTTGTATTAATCATCAAAATGTTTAACTGTAGTAATAAAAAATCACAGAATGAATGTTCAGTAAAATATCTCATTTATAGGTGTGATTAATTTTGAAAAATTACTAATTTATGAGGTTTGAAATAGTAAATAGCATACACAGAACTATAGGGTTTTTTATTTTCTAAACAAAATATTTTATAATAGTGTTATTATTTTTATATTTAATAATTTAATATTAATAGGATAAAATGGGATATTGTAAATGTAATTTTTTAAAAATAGCACATGTTATTTTTTGAATTTACATTTAATATGATAGCAACACATATAGGAACCAAAACTTTTCAATCTAAAATGAAATCTACTAAATATTTAAAGAGTAATAAATATAATAATCCCTTATTCGTTTAAATTTTACCACCCATTTAACCTTATTTAAATAGTACTATAAAATATTTTTTGTGGTTTACTGGTTTTTGTTTTTTTAGTGGCTTGGTTCGTGGGTTGGGAAATAAGAGAAAATATTTAAATATAATTTTATATTATCTGAAATCTTATGTATTTTCCTTTTTTTTACGCCTACATTTGATTTTGTCAAAAAACAAATTTAAATAAAAAAACGGTAGCACAGTGGGGTCGAGGCACAGTGTGGACGAGGCATAGATGGGACAAGTATAGATGATATCTGACAGTGATTAAAATCACTATCATAAGAAACGCTTCGATGCAAATCTGTAGATAGTGTTTCCTTTAGAGAAATTGGTGAAATATTTTAAAAGCAACATGAACTCTTATTTCTTTAATTATATCCTGATTAGCAGTTCTTTGATTTTAAAATATAATATATGAATAAATACTAATTATAGTTTTTAAATTTAGTATGAAATTGTGAGGCCA